TTTTTATATGCAAAAGCCATGAAAATCCCGGGGCCCACCAGCGGCCGAGCGGTAAATTCACTGAACACTGGTAGTTCGCTCCAAGGTTCAAATCCCGCGAACGGCTGGTTGCATGGGTGTTTTTTGTGGTTTTCCCCATGTGTAACGTGTATATGAGCCAGTTTTCTTAGAAAGTCCTCCACGGAGGCATCCCTCCTCTTAGGTAGATAGCCCTAGTGTGCTTTGCCATAATTAAATACACACCACCGATGAAAATCCCATTTCGCACAAGTAGGTGGTAGCAAAGGGTAAGAGTAACTGCAGTGCTTCGTTCACCAACTCTGGATAACGCTGTAACTGTGAACACCAGAATTGCTGCAATTCTAATTGTTCGAGTTCCATTTGAACATATCCACTTGCTCGTATTTCAATAAGTTGATCTTTTTTCAGATCACTATCATCCATCAAATTTAAGTCAAATAGAAATGGATCCAGTATCCATCTCTGAGTTTTGGTAATATTTCCGGTAGAAAAATATCCATTGAATGATTCGCTCAATCGTCTCAAATGTATTACAATGTCGGGTATAATTGTATTCTTTTCATTTTTCGCAATAACAGAATCAAGCAAGGGAAAGTTTGCAAAATTCCCCTTTTCTACTCGACGTATCCAAATTTCTAATTTTGCGATAAATGAAGATAATTTTTCACTAGATATTATTATATTTATACCAAATCCTTGCATCGATAGATTCAATTCATTTAAATGGCTAAATATGTCTGCTAAGTAGGCCAGCCTCAGCATTGCATCATTACTCTCAAAATCTTTTACTAAATAACAGTTTTGACTAGTCAGTAATTGAATAATTTCCTCAGGCAATTCAAAAACTCTGTGTTGTATTCCATCGTATCTGGTGTGATATAGGAACATGGTATGATCAGCACCGATTTCTTTGCAAAGTGCACGAAAAATGCGATGATTAAGCGCTCGCTCCTCGATGTATTTTACTACATTTACTGCTGTAGTTAGATGTTGTTTTAAACTTTATGCTTTCGACGTGCATGACGATGCAACATGCGTTATTATAACTTCCGGTAATTCTCTTTTCATGTGTGAAAAAATCCTGAATTTTTGCCTAACATTGCTGGGGCTCCATCAGTGCATATAGAGCCAATCACATTCTTTGGTAATTGATATTTAGTAAAAAAATCTTTGATGCGATTGAAAACATCAATTCCTCTCGTATTCACCTCCAGTGGCTCACAAAATAGAAATTCTTCTATCACCTCTTTTTCCTTCACATACCTGACAAATACCAAAAGTTGGCTACAATTATCAACATCAGTTGACTCATCCAGTTGCATGCTTATTTTTAGTGGACTGATTTTTATGTCTTCAATTACTTGCATTAAAATATCTTCACTGAGATCTTGTATTCGCGATCGTATAATATCATTCAATAATGGAATCTGTTGGATTTTTTTATAGATTGTTGAAATGCTCTAATAACTTTGATGGTTTGAAATTGTTGTTTGAAAATATCTTGGAACACAAGATGCATTGCGTTCGTTGCGTGCCATCTTTGTTGGTTGTGTAGGTAAATCCATAACCGGCGTACTTATCGTTCCATTGTCGTTTTTTTTGACATAGTGGGGATTCACTATAATCGATTTAATTATTTAGAAATAATGTAATATAATATATATAATGTTCTTATGTTTGTAATATCACTGAATCCTATTCGGCTTGAATGGGCAATTAAGAATGTATTAGTCTCAAGAGGTTTCTGGACAAGTCAGAATACACAATACACATGTCGCAGACACAATAGTTGACTCAACCTAACAATGGTGCATTAGATGCAGATACAAATCTGTGAATACGTAGATTCCATTGGAGTAGCACATATTGAACTCAGCGCATGCGCAAGCTGGGATAACGTTCTCCGCTTGTATTCCCACAAAGTTTTTTTTCTTTTCTTTGTCACCTAGCTGCCTGTTTGCATTCGTTTGTAGTGTTTCATGCCTTTTCGTAGCGTAGTGTATATGCCCATCGGCACCAGCTCTTTCCTGTGTCTTTTGCCGATAAGTGAGCTAGGTGCTACCAATTTTTATGAGCTTCAATATTTGGGACCCTATTGCAGATTTCAAATATTTTATTATAAGAAATTTAATAAATGATATTTAAAAATTTTTATGGTTAGGTAGGGGCTTCTCCCGCACCCCCAAAAATACATTCCCGCACCCCTGGTTAAGAACCACTGCTTTAAACAGACATAATTTCTTGTTCACTTACAAAATTCCACCTATTGGAAGCGGTATTTATTGGATTTAGAACCATACTACAGATTTCACCCTCCGTTAATTGATTGATAATTGGGGCATTGCCATCGCAATGAAAACCGTCTGTTACATCATCTTCATTTATTGCCGCTTCTCCACATTTCTTTACAAAATCCAATAACTGGAAAATTTCATCTTTAGTTTGCGATGTCCGAAAATCTTCATATTCGCGGCTATCATCTTCATCATCCTCACCATGAAATATGGTAGCTGGCCATAAATTATGCCAAGCATTTTTTAACGTATCTGGAGACACATCCTCTCAACGCGCATGTGTAAAACATACAAAAAAAAAAAAAAAAAAGGTTTGTGGCTTTGATGTCTGGATTATATACCATTCCGGATAATGGATGCCCGGATTACAGACTTTACTGTACTTGGATACTTGTATTAAAGCTGGCATTCAGCTGCTAACACTTGTGTCACTTTCCACTTGTGTCAGTCAATTTCATAAAGAGGCATGCTGGGTTTAATCTTCCTTGTGTAGTCTCCTAAGGGAATTTGGAAAAGAAAAAAGGAGAGATTTGTGCCTTTGAAAATGTAACTGTATCATGAAAAGATGATTTGGTAGGCACAAGGGTAAATTTGATGGGAGAGAGCGGCAGGCATCCAGGTTATGAATATGTCACTTCCAGAGAGAGTGTTGGATACATAATCTTGAGAAGGAAACAGGACCTTAGATTACTGTTTAGTAAGTGTCGTGCCCTTAAGGTTTTGTCAAAAGGGCAGAGAACATTTTTCTGTCTGACTTTTACAATAAGTAAAGGGCCAAGATGTAGTATTTGTTTAAAGTAGTTGTTGCTGATGTTCTTTGTTAACATATTGGGGAGGGAGAGAAAAGAAAGAATTAGATTCCGAAAAATCTAAGTTCAGCTATTATAGCAAATTGTGCTCTTCCTTAATTTTCTAATTTGATCCACCTTATTATTTTTTGCAGTTTAGATTTATTGCAACTATCGTATCAAAATTAAAGTTTGAATTTTTATTTATGTCAAAAAGAATTTTTTATTCTGTAACTATAACAAATATGCAAAATGAAAGCAGATTTGGATCTGTACCAGCCTGAGCAAAATTTGGGCTTAAAATGTGCAATTTCAAAAGCAGGGGGGGAAAATAAACTTATTTTAATGTAGATCTTGAGAGTTCTAGAAGTTGAAAGTTATGGAGAACTGATAATAAATGAAGATGTTGTAACAGTCGTCCATTCTAATGTCAGTGTTCCTATTAGCAATTAACTAATGCGTGGTGAATAGGTTTTAAATCCAGAAAATGTTATTGTTGAAGAAAGTGACGTAAATTGTTTCAGAGAGTGAAATGATTTTAATTGACAGTTTAATGGGAGCTCTTGACGTGCCAGTTACAGAACTTAAACAATGGAATTCTGTAAATTAACAAGAAACATGTCTATAAAATTAAAGAGAAAGTATTAACATGCATGAAAAAATAAAGCTTAAACAACTACATTGAAAGAAATGTTTAATAAGACCAGTAAGTAAATATTGAGCTTTTTCTGGTAAATATGAGATCATAAATGCTTTGTTATTTCATTAAATAACTATTTCATATTTTTAATTATATAAATTCTTTTAACTAATGGTCTAAAATCAGGAAGTTTCCGAAATACAGAACAACCACAACAATTTGTGATCTTGGACTTTATAATGTATTTCATGAATCATCTGTATATCAGTAGCATTAGGCCCATCAAGCGCTTGTTTAAGATATCAGAGAATGATGTATGAAAAATGTTTTGTGGTATTATGCCATGGAAGAATGATGAAAGATGGTACTTATGTGATTATTCTAATGGTTTAAATAACCCTTCTTAATACTAATTAAATGTCAGTAAAATGCTAATTTACTGACTGGTTACTTAATTTTATTGCTAATTGTAAATTTAGGTTTGTTATACTGCTATAGAAATAAGCTTTTTGTAACATTGCTATAAGCTGCACATGTTTCAGGGCCAATAGCAGAACTGAATTTAAGAACTGGTTCACTGCCTTAGCAATTGTTTAAAAACTGAAGCAATTTAAGAACTGGTTCACTGCCTTAGCAACTGTTAGTTTAGTTAGTATCCAACTGATAATTGGATACTATCTAAACAGAAATATAATGCTTGAACTGAATGTTATAATTTTAACTGGTGGTTTACTGAATTAAATTTTAAAAGCGGTTCTAACGAACAAGTGTGAACTGCCTGAATTTCATCACTGCCAGCAACTCATCACTGGCATCACTAGGTTAAGTTATAGTGTATTTAAAATTTTGAAGTGTTGATGCATATGTTGTAGTATATATTATTATGTTTAAATACATTGCCTTTTTACCCTTTATTATTTAATTATTTATTAATCTTAATTTTATTTATTTATTAGAACTTAGGAAGGGCCGAATATCAACCTTTTCTTGATTATATGGGGCATGCCACTGCAATTTATACCAATGGATCCACTTGTCTAAAAAATTCAAACTTTCAGAATCATGCGAAAATCATATTTTTGTGTGATAGTAAAGCTGGAATGGTAAGTCTTCTTTTATCATGTAAAGTTATGTAATGAATGTGTGTAACGTTTTAGTATTTTATAATTATGAATTTGTTGTATATGAGAATTTATTAGACTTGGTGAGTATATGAGATATATTTCCTTTCAAAAATGCATTAAAATAATTTTGTGAGGAAAGGCATGAAAAATGCATATTCTAAACTCATGGTTCTCAACTTGATTTTGCGTAGTTACAAATAATATAGTATTTGAAAGTTTTATTTTGATGATTTTCTTCATTTTCGTCGTCGATTTAGTAATTTTTCTTGTTACACTGTTACTTGTTTTTATAAATGAGTAGCCAGAGTTTCAAAACATTTTATTTAGGAAGAAGATACAAATATATTTTTTCGTTAAACACTTCGTGTAATGAAAAACTGTAGTGTGTTTCACTTTTCGTTTGCTTTTACAAAAATTAAAAATCTGTTATTAGATTTTTAAAATTTTCTTTAAATATTTGCTTAATGGATATTTAACTAAATAACAAATTAAGTACTTTAAGGAAACTTTAATTTAAATTACAGAAAATTTACATGAGAAATAATCAAAAAAATTATATAAATTCAATTCTAAAAAATAGAAAAATCTTAAATGAAAAATTGAAATTTATATTTTCAGCACTTCCTTGAATTTCAGTTCTGTAATATAAGCAACACTAAGAACTGTTCTCGTTTCTCTTTCTCGGGTAGGATTTTGATGAGGATATGTACGAAACGTATTCGGAAACTAAGTACCGTTTAGAAAAAAAAAAAAAAAAAAATAGTAAAACAATTTTTCCGAATCCAATTTTTTTTTTTTACATGAAAATGCATGTCTTAAACTATTTTTCAACATAGTTTCCGCCAATGATCAAACACTTGTCATAGCGGGTGACCAGTTTTTGTATACCATCGTCAAAGAAACTTCCCGCCAGTTTCGATAACCACGACTCCACAGCATTTTCCGTGTCATTGTCAGATCCAAAGCACTTGCCATCAAGCTCGCGCTTCATGTGCAGGAACAAGTGATAGTCGGACGGCGCCAAGTCTGGACTGTACGGCGGGTGATCGAACTGCTCCCAATGAAACTGTCGAATTAACGATTGAGTGACACCAGCAGTATGGGGCCGAGCATTGTCATGGAGCAACACAATTCCTTTACTGAGCATTCCTCTTCGTTTGTTTTGAATGGCACGCCTTAGTTTTGTTAAAGTCTCACAATATCGTGCCGCATTAAAGGTTTCACCTCTGGGAAGAAATTCAGTAAGCAAAACGTCTTTCCTATCCCAGAAGACAGTGCACATGATTATTTGTGATGACATTGTCACTTTGAACTTTTGTTTTTTCGGAGAATGAGTGTGTCTCCACTCCATCGATTGTTGTTTCGATTCCGGTGTGAAATGACACACCCAAGTTTCATCACCTGTCACAATTTGGTTTAAAAAGTTTTCTCCCTCATCTCTGTACGCGTGAGAAATGTCAGGGCACTACCAAGTTACTTTGTTTTGTGAACATCAGTGAGCATTTTTGGAACCCATCGGGAACACAGTTTGTGATAATTCAAGCAGTCAGACACAATTTCAAACAAAACAGTACGTGAAATTTGTGGAAATGCCTCTGAAAGAGTTGTCATTGTGAAGCGTCTGTTCTCATGAATTGCTTCATCAACTTTCCTTACCAAATCATCGGTGACAACAGAAGGCCGACCACTCCGAGCCTCGGCGTGGACATTTGTTCGACCAGCTGTAAACATTCTTACCCACTTTCTCACCATTCCATCACTTATCGCGTATTCACCGTAAACTTCTGTCACTTGACAATAAATTTCGGCCAGTTTAACATTCCTCACGTTCAAAAATTTAATCACGGCACGAATCTCACAGTCAGCGGGAGAACTAATTGTCTTAAACATTTTGAATGTGCACAGCAAACTGAAAACACAACATAGAGCAACCAAAATGGCGACAATTGAAAGTCAGTGAACAAGAAAGACTAGTTCGCATGCACGGGACGCCTACCACAGCGCTGCGACGGCGCTAGAATGAAACGGTACTTAGTTTCCGAATAGGCTACGTACAAGCTGTTTGTCATCTGCATTGGGCGAAATATTAAGATTATCATTTAAGAGATTTTCACCAATTAAGCAATCCCTAATTTCAGTGTACTTTGTTTACTTGTGGAATTCTGGATTCTTGGAAAACCAAATAACACTGGCATTATATAAAAAATTAACTGTTAGTAAAACAAACAAAAAGTCATAGTACCATCTAAATTAATTGTCAGTTATGCATAATATAAAAGTAGAACATTTTGATGCATAATTCTTATGTATAAAATTAACTTAGAGGTATAAATGCAATTAAAATAACTGCATTATATTAACTGCATTTATACTATAAGTTAATTAAATCAAATCGTAGCTATTAATTATCCTTAAATTAATCTCTGATTGTAAAGTGTTCGAATACTTCTAGCTGTATAGTCTAGTTATGAGGCCAGTGAATTCTACAATATATCAGAGACAATTTTTAAATAAACTAATTTATTTTACTTTTATGAAAAATAAATGTTGAATATGTTATAATATTGCTGTTGTTGATATTTTATAATTAACTATAAAGTTAAGAAAATACCTATAAAATTTCCCTTATGATATTAATTAGGGCAATTCTCTCCATATATTATAGGAATTACATGCATATTTACGGAAACCTCAATATTGTCCTTTGCAGTAGTAGTTCTGACATTGACATTTTGCTGTTAATAAAGTAAATATTTAATAGAAATTATCTTAATTCTATGTTTTCTCATAAAGAAACAACCAGGTCCTTTACCGAACTGAAAAAAAAAAGTATTCTCCTCAGTAAATTATGATATATTTTAATTATTGAGACAGGCATATAAGGATTGTTCACTTTTTGTTAAGCCATTGTGATAAGTTTGACACATTATCCTAAAAATGTATTTTTTTATAATTGTGACAAGTACATAAGGATTATCTACTTTTTATTAAGCCATGCAGCTGAAAGTTGGAGAAGAGTCTTTTGGAATGCAAGACAAATTTTTTCATCAGCAGTTTATCCATAAAATTTTGAACATCATTGTTAAAAGATACATGCCAACTATATAATAACTTTTCAAATTCCAGTAGCATCACCACTCATTGTCAAAAGCAGTATTTTCCTCTTTTAACAAGTCACACGTTTTAGAGAAATTTCTTGGAATACCAGTAACAATTTTTAAAGAGAGTTGGAGATGAGACTACTTGGAGAATAATTTAAATGCTCTTTCACGAAAGGAAAATGCATGTATATAATAAAATAAGTATTTGCACTTTTAGAAAAATCCTGCTATGAGATCTTCCATGAGTTTAATTATGCTAATTCTATCACTGCATTCTGTGCATATACAGTTGAATTAATAATATTATGCAATCTGTGCACCTGCAGTTGGATTAATAATACTACAAACAACTGATGAAAGAAGTGGAAATACTTCGGATTTTTGAAGTGAAGAAAATCTTTGCAAGTGCTATTTATAATATTCTATCTGTATTTGAAACACAGCATGTGAAACATTTTGTACTAATAAATCTTTACAGTGATATCTAATCTTGAGTTTATGTATGCAACATAAACTCAAGATTAATTAAAAAAAAGTGTGATATGTGTGTGTTTGTATGTATGTATATATATGTGTGTGTATGTATGTATATATATGTATATAAGATATATGGCAATGGGACAATACATGTATGACGAAAATTGCTAGGCGATGGTTTGGCTGGCGACGTTTTGGTCTGGTCTCCCTATAGCTGTAATTAGTTTTCTGTTTGAATAAATGCAATGAATCTATATATATAAAACTGTAACCATATCCAGCTCTCGTATGCCTTCCAGTAATTTCCAGAAGTGGATGTTACAAGAGTTTTTTTGGCAACAGGGGGTGGGAAACTCTACAAGACCAGAGAGAACATCAGTTTCTGAGTTGTTTAGTTCAGCATGAGTACGGAGTATTGAGATATCTCTGTGTTCGCTTTGCTGTTTAGATGCATTTTACATTGCACTGTGTTTAATTTTCTTAATAGTTTGAAGTGTAATTACTGATTGTACTCTGTGATACTGAGAAGCACTGTATAAATATTTTTTTTAATGTTCCAGAACTGTGAAGTGTTTCTTTTGATAAAATAAATTTTACTAAGCCATCATCAGTTCTGTGTGCATTCAATCTATTATGAACTATTACATATGCAACAATATGTATATAAAAGAATTGCTGTTAAATTAACGATGCTGAATTTTTTGGAAAATCCTGATCTTGTTTACATCTAAAAATGAGGATTTATTATTCAGAAAAAATCAGATGCTTTCAGAGAAATTTTTTTACTGATGGCTTTTAAAACACCTTATTTTCTATTCCAAGCCCTATGTATTTTTCAAATATTTTATTTCATATTTGAATTAAAGTTCGATTTCTGTCTGACTTTTTAAATGATTGATTCTAATGAGCTTTAAGTAATCTGAAATACGTTTTAGCAAAATTTAATACCATCTGATTTTCTTATACCTCAGGTTTTGATATTCAATAGAACTGTTGTGCTTCAGCTTAATTGTAAATATATGCTGGATGCACACCACACAGATCTGAATATATGCAGTTTCACATGCTTTGTATTTTAACTATATATTTGCTGCTCATTGTTCCTTCCTCCAACGGCATTGTTTTTTCATAATAGATTTTTCCATTTAAAATTGATTTTATATAAATGCATCGTATTATTCCTTGCCAACAGAACAGTACTTATGAGCTGTAATGATAGCTAAAGTGTTTTTCCCAGTTAACTAATATGTGAATTGAGTTGGCGACTTTTTGTGGATTTCTTTTCTTTCTTTATTTATTTATTTATTTTTATTCCATGATGCTCACTATTCCATGACTCACATGACTGCTTCTGGTCTTAGTAGTCGCAAAGTTTAGGCTTTGCGACTACTAAGACCAGAAGCAGGGTTAATTTTATTATGAAGGCCCCAGTAGGTGGCCTCTGTTACTTCCTATGAAGAAACAGACATACTTCCCCTTCTCGGGATTCGAACCTGGTATGGTAGTTGGAATCACTAACCACTTTACTGTCTGGGCAGTATTATCTGACAGTAACATCAGAATAATTCGGTGAATGTTATTATGACAAAAAATATAGGATTGCATCTATTGCTGGGTAAGTGTAGGGTGACAGACCTATTTTCAAGAATTCCCCAGGGAATGGACTCAAGGATCTCCCATTCCTCTTCATTATTAACATATCACTCGGGCCCATCAGTGTCTGTGTGTACCAGTATTCAGCAGAATCACTGAATACTTGTAGCTCAGTCCGGGATTTGAATACCAGCGAATGAACTGGCTGCATGGATGTTTTTGTGTAATGCGTATACAAGCCTGTGTTTTTCCCAAGTGTAAAGTGTATACAGGCCAGTGTCCCTTAGAAAGTCCTCCATGAAGGCATATCTTGCCAGAAATGTTAGCCCTCAAGTTCTTTGCCATAATCAGACAAACAATATCACTTGAGAGGACTAACAGCTTGTCATGGTTTATGTGACTGTATGCTGGAAAGACACTAACAAACATTTAAACTTTCTCTAGGATTTGAACCCAGGCCTAACAATATGGCAGTCAGCATCTCAGACCCTTATAGCAATCAGAATAGACAGAATCATTTTAAGTTGTGAGCAACTAATAAATCAATAAATATTAATTCTTTATTTGCTGTCAGAAAAATTTATATCATAATTAAAACTACTTTAAATGTTTTCAGAACAAAATATATTTGTTAAATTAATGTTAATATATTTTAATAGTAGAGTTATGAAGTTATTTTTGAGTGGATAAAAGACATCTTGACATCATTTGTGATAAATCAGTTTAGTAATTTTTCTTTCATAATCTGACACAAAAAAAAAATATTAATTTAAAAACAGTTTCCTGTTTAAAATATTTGTTTAAATTTTGGGGGGCGGAGGGGAATTTTTTCCTTGCAGAAATCAAATTTATCTCTGCATTGCATATAGATTAGTTTCATGAATTTTTGCATTTCAGGGAGTTCCTGTCCTTGTTACTGAGAATGAGGAATGTTACTTTATTTTTGAATGGAGAACTAGTGTAGTATGTCCTGAAAAACCCATCAAGGGCACTAATTTCACATCTTGTAATTATACTGACGATAGCAGCAATATACATTTCAATCTTTTTCTTCTTCAAAGGACAAGAACAGAGCCATGTTACGAGGTATGACAAATTCTTCTAGTTGTATTATTTAATAATTTTACATACAAAATAAGTTTAATGGTAAAATTTTATTTATAAGCTGTTCATATTTTTCATTGAGTGATTAATTTGTCAATAATAATTTTAATTGGACTATTATAATATAAGGGACTACACTAGTAAATACCTAAATATTATTGGAACTCGTTTTTCATATCTCAAAACAATCTAGTTAATTTTATCTCTGTAAAGTAAATTTAGAAGTGTATTTCTACCTATTACCTTTGTATTAAATCAGAATTCATTTTCAAAATATAATTACTAGTTTAAAAAGGATATTTCTGTCCTTATAATTAAGTTATGGTGTTTCTATAATTTAATTTTCTGAAAATAAATAGATCACAAAGTATATCAATACTTAACATTTTCTAAAACTAGAGACAGCTTCCTCCCATAACCATTTTTAAAATTTTTAACTGGTGCTTGATCTCAAAACTAATTAAAATTTAGAAAAAAAGTTAAAGGGTGTTAATTCATCCAGTCCATTAGTAATTAAGTGGATAAATTAAAAATCATTTAAACTCATTTTAAATCGGGAGTGTTATCTTGTTAAAGATTCTGCTTCTTTCCAAAAAAAAAAAAAAAAAAAAAATATTGATAAAATATTGATAAACAACTTTTTCCTATAACCAACTATATTTCCTATAACTTTTTCCAACTTTTCCTTTAGAATTGGGTTAACTCTCAGTATAAACCATTAAATCATACTCGTAGCATACTACAAATGAGCCAAGATACTTGAGGAAGAATTATTAACGCTTGAAACATCAGTCACTAATACCATAAAATCAAGATCGACAATTTAGATATCAGTAATCTTTCAAATACATTAAGAAATAATGTGTAGACTCCTTTCAGATTCTTCAAATACTGCTTCATTTTTAAATGACTAGCTAGCTAAGGATTTGCATTAATTAAGTTAAAAAAAATTTTGCTAAATTTAAAACACTTCTTTTACAAGTTCTTTAGTACATAATGTTTTAAGCATACACTCATAAATTTTAAAAATAATATAAGACATTTTCTGAATTATTTTCTTAATGTTTAAAATGGTTTTCACTTTAATATTTAAATTTGATAAAGTAATAATTATAACATTATTTATTGCATAAATAATTAAAAAAATTACTAATTTAGCAATTAATGATTTGTACCAGAAAAAGCAGCCTCCACCTCACTCAAAAGAACATTTGAAAACTTATAACATAATTAATAAAGAAAGAATTAGGACTTATTAAATAATCCAAAGGTGGATAATAGTTATTACTTGAAATTTATTATTCAGAGCAAATATTATGATTCAGTCCTTGTGTTTAAGCTGCATTTCTTTTAACCAGAATGTGTATTTAATTTGATCTAAAAAGTGTCGTAAAAATTTTGCTAGCCATCTTTAAGATTTTCAGATAATTATGTTTAAGTTCCTTAAACCTTTCCATTCAGTTGTGTAACAGGTAAGAAATTAGTCTGATATGGTACTGCAATGCTCTTGATTATTATTTTTCTTTTTATCACTCGTTGAAAACGAATACACAAATTGGAATCATTTAGTTATTTTTTATTACTCTTTTCATTCAAACAACCTCCAAGATTGGACTAGCCAAGTTAACAAAAGCCTTTTTTTATAATCAGGCACAAGCAGTGGCGGAAGGGCCATCAGGTGACCAGGCAGATGCCCAGTAGGCTACAGAGATTTCGGGCCGATCAAGAAACTCGAATGATGGAATCGACACAGATTACTCGGTGAGACAGCCGTGCGCGTGAGGGAACGTGTGTAGAATTAATACTTTCACTCAAAAGTATACCTCCTAATGATATACAGAATGCACAGATATGACAAATGGCAAAGTTATTCTGGATAAACTATCAACTTTTCGAATAATTTTGTCTGTTCATGTGTATATGAAAATATTTCAATATACTGAGCCAGTAACGAAATATTTGCAGATTAAAGGATTCGATTACATCTTAACATGGTTAGAGAGGCTACAAGCGTTTTAAAAGCCATTTCTAGAAAACTTCAGTTTAATATTCAACACATCAAAAGCGTTTGCAACGGATTGCAATAATAAACTAGAAAACCTGGGATGTGATATAAATATAGAAGAACCACCTGCTAGAAGATGCCGAAAAGCGAAACAAATGAATGATGAAGAACCGTCCGACTATAATTTCAATTGCCCTCTTAAACAGTTCAAAGTTACTGTTTTTAATTTTGTAATGGATAACACCATTTCATCAATGGAAAGTAGGTTTAAGGACATAGGAAGTTGTATGAAGACATATCACTTCTCGATCCCAAAAACTTTTCGTAGCCAGCCATGTCGTCGATTCTTTCGAACTATTTATCTGATATTATTAGGGCACTATGCAGATGTAATAATTGATAATCTTGTAAGTATGAATATCAGGACCTAGTAATTAAATGGGAAATACTAAAAAATTCAATTGCAAATCGTTATTTTGAATCTGATATCGAGTCAGAGGGAGAGAGTGCTCTATCTATTAATAAGCATTCATCGAAAGCTAAGTGCAGTTTTGGCAAAAATTGTGCCTCTGTGTGTGTATGCTAATTCCTCTTGAAATATAATTTATATAGTAACACTTATGCCAGTGTCTTTTTTTTTTTTTTTTTTTTTTTTCTCTCTCTTAATTTTGTACTCACCTTATCTATAATGGAAGTTGAATGCAAAAGAGCTTCCTCAAAATTAAAAACTGTAAAAAGTAGATTAAGAAGCAAGCTAATTTGGAGTCATTGCTATTGATGAACATAGAAAATGATATTTTGGCTAAAGCAAAAATTAAAGATATTTTAATGGTGGAAATATTTGCCCAAGTGCCTAGAATTTAAAAATATTCAAATGGCTAATTATGAATCAACTGCTGTTTTGTTTATATAATTACTTAGTCACTGTTATTTATTGTGTGTATGAATAAAGTGTTACTTTTCTGCAAAAGTATATTTTTATTTTATAAAATCAATTTTTATGATGTTGATTATGACAATGATAACTTATAATGGCATTCTGTATGGGGCCTTAGGACCAACATATTTTTTCCTGCCAGGGCCCACTGGCAGAGCCAAAGAACCAATCTGCCACTTGTGCTCAGTGGGCACAAGAGTCAGCTTACACTTCCCATCTCTTGAAGAGATTACTCTTTTCCAGTTTGAAGTCTTCTGAGCACTTTTTCTCTTTATTTTTTCTTTCTAAACTTTAATAAGTTAAAATTCCTCATTCTGCCTCTGATGTAACAACAGTTAAAGACTTAGCTTCTGAAGAATGAAGATCACTTCTGATTATTAGCTCAACATAGTAATAAAATTAGCTTGCATCATTTAAATTATTTCTGAAGCCTTCTCATACCAATGAGAATAGAGAAATAATCTGAAGAGATTTTTCAGAGAACCAAAGTTAATATCTTCAATAAGTACCAAACACTTTGCAGGCAAAATTTCAAAGGATGTTTTCAAAAAATTGTTTTTCATCTCTGTCAGAGCCGCGATACAGGTAATAATAAAGAAATCAGAAAAGTTTGCACTTAAAATTTCCCCAAATCTTCCGTCATTGAGAAATATGTATTCAGCAGTGAAAAGTGTTGGCAATCAAAAGAATCTACTGAATCTATTGAAAGAATCTATTGCAATTCTTTCTGGTCTTTCACTACCACTTTGAATAGCATAGGTAAAAACAAACCATAACTAAAGTTTCATACGTTTGCAGTTATACAGTATTTTTAACCAGTTTTATAATATAATATTTTTAACTAGTTTTGTTTTGTTTATAGTTTTTATAGCTAGTTTTTACCCCTGAGCTAATGTAATTTATGCTATAATGTTACATAATTAACTCAAGAGATAACTCTGATTTAAGTAATAAAATATTAAATAATTTTGAACTTGTACACAAGAATGCAGAAATATTTATATTATAAGAAAAATCTCTTTATGCATTGTTTTATACTGCCTCTCTTTATTACTAAGATGCATTACTTTCCCACTCAAATATCTCTAGAAAGGGAGCATATCTTAAAATTAATAATTTTTTGAAGATAGGAAGATTTTGCATGCTTTAGCACCGCAGTTATGTAACCACATTATTATGCAGCATGTTTCTATGTGCTAACTCCATCTCTTAATGTGATCACAATTAAAGCATGTAGATATAAGTGACTTATCACTATGCCTAGATTAGCAAACAGGAACTTACTAAGGGTGTAAAAGACAATTTTATTAAGAACTCAAATAAGTTGAACAGAAGGTACTCCTGCCACTTATAAATCAGCTAACATTTATTTATGGCATGAACTCAAAAGTGGAACATTGAATTAAACTAAATTTAAATGTCTTAATTAGCCAAAGGCTACACAGAAATGTTTAGATGTGCACTTTTGCTCTTATTCTACATGGGGTGACAGCACTATCTGTAAAAGTAAAGCAACACTGTAAATAGGATTGCTATTGTAGAGTATACCCTAGTAACATGGCTTCTTGTAAACGGAACAGGCTCTGACTATAAAAATCTCAAACCCTCACTTAAATACATGTGAGCTAAATTTGCATTCTGGCAGGAAAACAGAGAGGGAGAAGTGACAGTGAAGATTCATAACATGAAATAACAGGTTAATTAACATAAATACCTCACACGTAATGGAGGTATTGTTCAAATCATATCTCTGTTATTTTAATGCAGTAGATGTCACTGATTGAGAATTAGGTTGTACTGATGTTTTGATATTAATGAAGTAAATATCATCAGTAAAAAAATTATTTTAATTCTGTATTTTCATGTAAAGCAAACATTTCTTTACAGGACTTGAGGAAAAATTATTATGCATCAGTGAAGCTATGATGTTTTTTTATAACTGAGACAGGTGTGTAAGAATTCTCCATCTCTTAACAAACCATGCAGTTGAAAGTTGCAAAAATGTTTCTCAGAATACTTTAAAAATTTTTGAAAGGAGTTTCTGATGATACTATACTTTTATATTATCAGGTCTATCCCAAAGCTGCTGAACATTTGTTAAGTTCTTGCAAGTGCTGAACTGTAACTGTTCAAATTTCATTGATGTCTCAGCTCATCCTTAACCCCACCTTTAAAAAAGCCACACAATTGAAAGCTGAAGAAAAATATATCAGAATATAATATAGCAAGTAAATTTGAAAGGGAGTAGTTGTTCACATTACATTTTCATATTAGCACTTTATCCTTCGGTTGATGAAATTCTCTTACAAGACCCTAAACATTAATCGTTCAAGTTTTCACAATATTCACTCATCATTAGAGAGAGATGAGAACCTTGAATTAATTCAGATTGGAAATGCTGATGAAACTTCTTTTTGTCTACTTCAAAATTTCACTATCTGTGTTGGAAGTGCTAAAGAAATCCAAATTTGAATCATTATTTACAAATTGCTGCTTATCTCTCTGATGCTTGAATCAGCAGTAGAAATATTTATGTTTTTACTGATGCATGATTTACTTGATATTGGCATTATAATTAATGGGCATCTAGTATGCAAAATGATTTTTCAAGAATAATTTGACAAATAAATATTTGAAAGGATCTGAAAATCCATTTATTCATCCATTTATTGAGAAGGATCTGAAAATCTATTTATTGGAGAAATTACCTTATTAACCGATTAGTTGTTTTACATTATGAATTCCTGTGCATTAATTATATGCTGATAAAATAGGCTGCATTGGATTAAATACAAACTACATGGAAAATCTTAATGATCCATATAAGCTTAATGCTTTTTTTTTTTCAGATATGAATTTAAGTGGAAATTAAATATCGCTAAATTTTCAAAAAAGTTGATTTATTATTATCTTGTCTATCAAGGCATTATACTTCTATCACTGAAATGAATATGGATTTCTTGTCTTTTAATTCAGAGATTTCATCAGGATATTCTAGAAAATATTTTCAATCAAATTCACAGCATTAATCACACTTTTGATTTACCAATTCCTGTATAGTTTACTAGCAGATTAAACGCATGTATAATCAGAAAATCCCTTGAAAAATTAACAGAAAATCCATATACAGAAGGTAAAAAATTCCCCCAAATTATGAATTTCTTCCTATACAAATATTTTCATCTACATCTATTTTTACAAGGAACTCCGTTATTCTCGGAAAGAAAGAAGAAATGGAAGAATTCTGACAATAAATGATATTTTTTTACAACGAAAGAAGTTACTATCTTTAATTCTTTTCACAAAACAAAGAAAAAGTAAAAGTTTTAAACAAAAGTAAAAGTTACACACGTTGCCACTCACAAACTCAATGAAAAATCACAGGGAAAAGAAAATTGTTAAAACTTCGAGTTTGTTAAAACTTTAGATGGGACAGTATAGTGGCAATAAATTTAATCTAATCATGTTATAATTATTTTGATAAGCACTGATGCTAAATGTATATCAGTTAGATCTTATATATCTATATATACACACTTTTTTGTAAAAAAAAAAAATCGAAGCACCATGAAGGAAGTGGTTGATTTTGATGAAATTGGATATGTGTATGGCTCGTACACAGATAATAAAATTATTAAAAAAATCAAGGTTAAAAATTATTAAAAATACCTGTTCATGGCTCACAATCACCCATTGAGTGTTCAAATAAGTAGTTGGTCGAACCGCCCCTGGCGGCGGCAATACATGCTTGAATTCGTCGAAGCAAGGAGTGGTCGAGGGTCCTAATGTCATCCTGCAACACATTCTGCCAGGCATTCATGCAGTTGTTGTCCCAGATCTGCATTTTTTTGGTGTTCGAATCTGGTGGCCTACTATGCCCCAGACATGCTCGATTGGTCAACGGTCTGGGGACCTTGCTGGCCAAGAAAGAATATCAACCGCACGGAGACTGTCCAGAGATATGTGAGCGGTATTTTGTCTGGCATTATCTTGTTGGAAAATGACCCCAGGATGACATGCCATGAAGGCTAATGCAACCGGCCGCAGGATGGTATCAACATATTGTTAAGTTTATAAGGATGTACTAAAGATAACCTGCTGTCATAAGAAATAGCACCCCACACCATCACACCAGGAGTATGGCTGTATGCCTTTGTAAAACAAAGGCTGATTGGGACTGCTGGCCCTGTCCTCTGCAGACATGAACATGGTGGTCATCTGCTTCAAGACTGGAGCAGGATTTATTGTTGAAAACTATGCGATGCCAGTCTGATGGCAGCCATGATGTTTGGCTGCGACACCACTCCAGACGACTCCACTGATGTTGTGGGGTCAAAGGCAAACGTCTTAAAGGCCTCTCTGAGCATAACCCCGCCTCAGAGTAGCGCCATAGTACCATGGGGAGGTATAGACGTGGCTGTAGTGCATTGAAAAGACAACAATGATGTATATACTTTTTGTTTCTGTATTTGTTTATCTTAACAGTTTTAATTTTTAAATTCAGATATGTCTTTGCAAACATTTTAGTACTTTAAAATGTGTTAAAACTGAGTCCACATGAATTTTAATTAGTTAGGTAAGAATTATGTTGGAAAAAAAATCAGTTTATTTGGTTTTCCATGTAATTTAATTAGTTTTTCCCTGTGATGTTTCCCTGACAAAGCCTTCTACAGATGCATCTCTTGCTTAGCATCATAAACTTTAATTTTTCCTTGGAAAGATTTTTGCCTATTTAATTTCAGCATGATGAAGTTTTTTATTCGGGGAGGGGTGGGGAAAGAAGAAATGTACAGTATCAGTTTATTATTCATTTATTTTCTTAATTTGGATTTTCCTAAGATGGGTATTAAATTATACTCTTCATTGTAGGTGACTGATGGAAATTTCTTCTTATCTATTAAATATATGTGCCACCCTCGAGAATTCACATTTTGAAAACTGCAAAGATGCTGGAATATGTAAAATAGAAGGAAATAAGATTAATAACTATGGAATGGCTGCATCACAGAAGTTAACATATGATGGCGAAAGATTCAGATTGGCATTTTATGATGGAGATGATTGCTCTTCAGACAGTAAGTTCTTTTTTATTTCTCTTTTTCTTTCATTTATTCATTTATTTCATTTATTATTTTTCTGCTTGGCCTACCAATGGCCAAGCAGAAAAGCTTCAAAATACTAGTAATTTGACTGAAGTTGAAATCCCAGCTACACAAGTGTTTCCATGCTTTTAGTTAGCCCTTGTACAGTTTGCCATAATCCAAATAAGCCCACCAGAACAAACCTTTTTAGTTTCAAGATACAATTTCAAAGATTAGTGCTAGAATTTTCATTTAAATTGTTGTGAAGCAAATTACTGAAAAAATCTTATTAACTATTTCGTTATCTTTTCAACTTATATCTGATTCGTGTTACATGTTCCTTATGTGCACTTGATAGTAAATTAGAGATAGACAAAACAACATTTTTTTAAGTCTAGATCAAAATCATTTGCTAACTGAAATTAATCTGTTTTTTTTAATGACTCGCCATTAATTAAAAAACCCTTGATGAGAAGGACTGGGATTGAGGAGTGAATCAAGAGCCATTAGCGATCTTGAGCGAAGGGTGTAAACTTGGAAAGGGATTGGATGATGAATACCATATCTTTCCAAATATGAGTCGATCTGTTTCAAATTCAAAATCTGTACATAAGCCGAAATGAACGAAAGAAAAAAACTTGTAACCTTGAAACATGTTGCCATGATGGCGAAAGTGTTGCCGAGCAATTAAAATGAGAATATTTTCTAGTCAAATCGAGGTAAAGTAAAACTCCAGATGCCAGAGGCAACAGTTTTAACTCTGTCAAATCTGTCTGAGGCTAGCACATTTATTCCATTCTTTTGTTTTGGTATCTGTTATAGTCTTATTTCCAATTTGAAAGATGATCAGGAAGAAAAACTCCTATATTGCAAATTTCGAATTACAGATTATGACATTTGCTAAGTTTTGATAGCAGATTGCGAATTTTGCCAACATCAGATCTTTCATTTCAGGGACAACGAAATCCAGTGTTTTGGAAATGAAACAACTCATTTCCATAAAACGAATAACTTGTTTCATCTAAAATTATTTTTTTACCTTGGCTAAAGAAATAAAAAGTTTTATATTTAGCAATTTATTTCTTATGTCCATTTAACGGAATATTAACTACGTTGAGTGCGATATTACCATATCTGTATGTAAACTGAACCCTGCAATTTAGCTTTAGAACATTTTTTGAAAATTCCTTGTATGAATAGGAGTAAAACTGTGGAATAGGAGTAAATTCGCTCTGTAATGTAAATTGTGTCTTTGAGTTCATTCCAGAGTAAATTTTCTTAACTCTACAGTAAATGCATATTCTTACATGTGAGCAAAAATTATGGTTTTTGTTTTTCTTTGTCTGCTGATTTAAATGTGGTTTCAAAAGGCCTGCCAGAGCCAAATAATGAGTAAAAGCACATATAAATAAATACTTTAGTATTATCATATAAAAAACAATAATTTAAATAATATATATAAAAATTAGAAAATTTCCTGGTATATTTTCTATATCGGACAGCAGAAATTGAGCAATTTTCTCTAGAAAGGTATGTGAGCCAACTTAAAACTGCCAGTCAGCAAACATACTTTTTTATTAGCTCATTTTGTCTGTCCTAAAATTTTTCTAAACATAAGATAAATTAGTTATTTTAGTTAGCAAGAAGGAAATTGAATGACACAATTTAGAAAATTTTAATTTATGGTGCTTACATTGAAAATAAGACCTTTGTTATTAGTGCAAAACATTTGATTTAATACTTGTCAGTAGGCAAACTCAGTACATATATCTTTCCCCAGGAAAATGGCATATATTGTCCTACAAGAGAAAGGATCTCTTTGCTGCATATTACAAACCAAAGGTTAAATTCAGTTTCTTTTGTACTTTCTATTTAAGTATCTGAAGTGTAATTGTTTGCTTCTTGATTTGTATATATTTGCTGATTAAATTTATATTCTCATGAATTTAATTTTTACATTCTGCTTGTATAGTCTGAAATTAAACACTGAAATTGTATGATGTTCTTTAATTGTGGACAGTTATTTTACTCTTTTGCTGTAGTTAAAGCAAAACTGATTTCGGAAGTGCTTTTTGTTTGTAATCCATTTGTTGGAAAGGGAGAACCTGTAATTCACAAGGTAATTTTTAGAATTTTATACCGATTACAATTTATTCTTCTTCTTATGTAATTTAATTTGCAGTTTCATGAACCTCATTAAAGCTTTCATAGATTTCTTATCATTGAAATTTTTTCTTAGGCATGTTTTTGATAAAGTTAGAATACGAAATCAACCATTTTCATTTTTTTGGAAAGTAGATGAAATGTTAATTAAATTAAAAATAATTGCAACAAAAATACTAACTGGAAAAATACTAATTGAAAGGATCCATACATTAGATGAAGTACCCTTTCAATATCAAAACGTTTTCAACTAACATAATTTTTGCAATTAGGAATATTTAATTGTGATTGTGCTGTCAGTAATAAAAAATCTATTAAATCAGTTTTATATTAACCAGAATTCTGCTGCTTTTGGTTACAATTTTTTGGAAAATATATATCAGTTCCTTGCTAATGCAATATATTAATGCCTCGAGTAATTTTTGACAGATAACTTTGGAGACAAAGATTATGAAACATGTTGATTTTCATGTAGTAAAATATTTCTGAAGAGTTACATTTTTACCCAAGTAATTGCTTAGTTTGCAATATGTATATTGTGACAAATAACATGTTTGCATTCTTTTTCTCATGGGAAAAACCTCAGTTCTCGCAGATAGCTCTAAGTTTGACCAAGTTAAACTAATCAAAGGGGGTTTGGGCACTGCATGCCAGCGATGCGTCCGTTTTTCATTTTGCAAGAAAGGAAGAACGAACATTTTCTGAAAGATACCATTGAAGTAAGGCATGCCTTAATATCCTTGAAGCTTTGTCTTTCCTTTCTGTAAAATACCTTATTCTAACCTGGAACTTCGCCTGTTATATTTTAAAATAAATCTAAAAGGACAGTCTGTCTCAATGTCTTCCATCCTGGGAGTTTGGCGATGTTATAGCTTTAACAATAGAAAGACTGAAACTTAGTATATACCTATATTGTCCTAAAGCAGTCAAATGTCCCAAAGCATTGTGAAAGAATAACTAATTTGTAAAGAAATTAAATTTCTTTAAAATTAATTTTTTTATATTTTTATATTATTTACTTATTAGTATTTGACAATAAAAAATTTATGTGTTTTTATGTTGCACAAAAAGTCACAAAATTATAAGTAGCTGGGTCATTATATACATGATTTTTTTTTTCTAATTGAAACTGAAAAGCAGGCAAAATGACTACATTAGGCAATCTAGTGTTAAAAATATTGGTGGCAGCTGTACAATAAAAATCTACAGAAACAGGTATTGTTTAGCCATCAAATGAGAACTCTTGTGTTCTCATTTGATGCACTCTGCACAGAATCCAGATACTGAAATGGACTATCTTCATCCGAAAATCATCAGCAGCCTTAAGCTTTGGGGGACAGACAGTATCTGAAGATCATCAGCATCTTTAGGTTTCAAGGGGCAGTTAATGTCCGAAGATCATCAGCTTTTTATGGGACTGTCAATGTCCAAAGACTGAAATGCTGAATGTCTGAAACTGAAAAGGCACAAAAATACAATGAAAGGTTTGAAAAATGCCTGGAGTAAAAGTACAGAAGAAATTTTCCCCCCTTCTAATTAGGCAGTTACACATTCGCAAGAAACTTTGCCCGAAAGCAAAGCTGGCTCTCCCAAAGAAAAACCAAGGAGCACACCTGTATTCTTGCCCAGTCTGAAGGTGAATGATCTTCCTTCCTTTTTTTCTTTCTACCTTTCCTTAAAGCAAATGCTTTAAGGTTCTCACTTACAAAGGGAAAATAATAAGTCACTCATTTGCCTCGCATGTTTCCACTCGCAAGAAAGCAGTTATTGGTACTCTTCTGTTATCATGACCAGATTAAAAAATGTATGGATGGATGGGTGGATGTGTTCATGTATACACGTGTATATGTACATATGCATGTATGTGTGTATATAAACACACACATATATGCATATACATGTGCATATATATACATACATTTCTGAATCTGGTCCTGGTAACAAAAGAGTACCCGTTTATCAAATAGGAAATGAAGAAGTATTTAAAGACGAGGAAGACCTGAAAAATGGTCAGCAACTATTGGTTATTCTTGAAGCTGTTGAGGAAATGAGTATAGGTGCATGTAAACTTTCACCAGTCATGCCTTGTGAAAACATAATTCAAGATAGCACTTGATTTAGCTTCTCGGTACCCAGATGCTATCCTGGTAATAGATATAACTTCTGTTGCCATCGTAGATGCGTTGTTAAACCTTTTTACCATAATGGGATTTCCTAAAGAAAGTCAGTACAATCAAGAAACTTCATTTATGTCAATTTTGGCTTCGTACCAACCAGTCAAATTTTTGGTCCATTCCATGGGGATTGGGAAATTTAAAAAAAATAAATAAATTTGTATTGTAAATTTATAAGTGAAAAGAGGAAAATCAAAAATTAGCCATCTCATTATGTTAAAAAAGATGCCTAAAGGGAATAATCATGTTTATTTCATAAATGATGATAATAATTGATAATGAAATGTTTTTTTTTTTTTTTTTTTTTTTTTTTTTTTTTTTAATGCCAATTCAAATATTTATGACTTATTTTGATGTTATTAAACTCAGGATTTGAGGAACAATTTTCGGATCCCTGCAGAAACTTCTAAATAATTATCTCGATCTTTTCTGCCAAGAGGCTTCCATTGAGCCTGCATAATACTTTCCTTTTGAGCCTGGGTGAATGTATAAATCAATCTAATATTTTAAGGATGTATATTGTATACCGCTTATGTGCAGAAAAACTGTGAGATTGTATATTGTTGGAGTGTAATTAAATTTAGTCAACAATAATTTGTTTTTACATTGGTCTTTATGCAAAGGTTCATTTTCAATCCGTGATACTTGATCCAAGTGAAAATATGTATGTTTTCTGTTCATCTTTTTATCTGACATTATGTGACTCTAGAAATGGTAATTTTTAGGGACTATTCTTGACCTCTTCAATAACTGACCCCACCTCCTGAAAGGGAAGGCGTTGGGACAACTAACGTAGGTTCACAATAAGTGAGTTTACTTTGCCCATGAGAAAAACCCCACTTCTTCCAGATAGCTGTAGGCTAGACTGAGTGAAATTAACTGACGACAGTTTTTGGACTGTACCGCTGCAGCGTATCCATTTGTTGTTTTGGAATAAAAGAGCAAGGAGTTGTTTGAAAGATGCCGTTGAAGTAAGGCTTGTCTTGCATCTGGGAAGCTTTGCTTTTCTCTTCTGCAAAATCATGTGGTTATGTTGTTTCTGTATACTAATTGAGAATTTATTATGACCTGGAACATCACATGTTAAGTTTTTTAATAAATCTAAAAAAGACAATTTGCCACAATGTCTTCCATCCTGCGAGTTCGGCGATGTTACAGTGTTTTTTTTATTTTAGAGTAGTGCAAGTGCCATTATATTTAAAATGGCACTCCCAGCACTTGATGACTTGATCATAATAGATGTTTATACTTGGATTTAAGTGAGCAAAAAATTAATTTTTTAAGGTTACTCAATTATTGTAAATCTCCCAGATAAATGAAGTATTATAAGCCAGTCTACATTAGTAGTTGCATCATGAATTAATTTCCCTTTGCCTACCTAGAGGTTTTCATGCAATCAATTATACAATTATTGTTGCTTTTTGTTTGATGAATGTATCACTTTCTAGTAAAGTTTTTCTGTAAAAAGTTGTTGCATTTGTGGTTTTAAAAAGATTAATAGGAGGTAAAACTAGTTGTGTAATAAAATTCTATTGAAAGTAAATTAAGCTTAAAAGTATTATATAGTTATGTATTTAAAATATGTATGAAATTATAGATTAATTCTTATCTCTTTTTAAAGCCATGACTTAAATTTCAGAAATATGCATGCATGACAGTATTCCTGTGGGAAACATCATTAGCATGTCAAAACCTGCAGAACCCATGTGCTTTTGATATTGATGGTAGCCATTATGATTTTAATCTTCTTTCAAGTTCATTGCATAATTTTAATACATCAGACAATAAAAACACGTAAGTAGTTTTATTGTCTTTTCTACGAATATGCAAAATTAGTGTATGAAATGGCTTTAATGGTTAATGTAATGGAAATTGTCCAAAATCTGTAAGTACTAGCTCTTAGAGCCACTAGCTCTTATTGAAGGTGTATTATTAAACTGATCACTATTTCTGGGTACATAAGAAAAAAAGGTTACTGATAATTACATTTTTTCTAAGACCCCTCTTGCCCAATGAAGAATAATTAAGCACTTTTATTTGAGACTGCTATTTAATTTTATAATCACTAAGTATTCCATGTATATTATAAATTGACAATAGAAAATAACTGTTTTTTGTATGAGAAATGTTTTTAACAATTTTGAAGCTTAAATTTTATTCTTGTTTCAGCATAATGTATTTATGTTATAGGATCATTTCTGAAACAGTACACTTTAGATCAGCATTTCTCAAACTTTGGTCCTCAAAACCTGCCCTTGTGGTCTTTTTAGATTTCCAAAAATGTCTGGTTATTTATAAATGAAATTAACAGAATTCTACATTATTTCGTATTGATGACATGTGGTTAAGTATACCAGCATAACATTCGGGTGTATTATAAAAAATAATTGAACTAAATATCTGTTTGTAAGTTAATTCTTTGACTGTTCTCAGTGTCTATGAGATCGTTTCTGTTGTTGTGAGTTTTCCCTTTTTTTATATTGTTTTTGTCAGCAATGTGAGAATATCTTAATCAATTATCACCAACATAATTATATAATATTTACATTTACACAATATAGTTACATACTATCTGATAATAAGAGACACTGTTTAAAAAGGTTTATAGCAAAAATTAGGAATATTGCTATTTTTACAAAAAATTTTGCTTTTGAGTTTTTTTTGCAAAAACAATAAATAATTGGAAACTAGTGATTTTAAACTCTTTTTTTTTTTTTTTTTTTTTTAAATCCTTCATCCCACCAAATTCATGCTAGGACTTATATTGTTTTGATAGTAGTAAGTTTAGTAACTAAACCATCAATGAAAAACATCAAAATATTGCATTTTTCACAACTTTAAGCATGTTGCATGAAAACAGTTTTATTTCAATATTTTTTTCTGATTTTGCTCAGCTAGGCAATAAACAACTTTTCCAAAATATAGCGATAAAAATGTTAATGAAAGTTGTCTTCTTTCGACCCACCCTATTGAACAGCCGTGTAATAAATTATTGCTGTATATTGCACCAAAGTAGTTTCACTAATATTTCAGTAATGATTTGGTCTTCCTTTTGGTGCTGTTCATTATGTGTAAAAATCAGTTTTCAGCTGGTGCCAAACGCTGTTAATTTTTGCTTTAACAGTCTTATCATGTTTCATTTGAAGTTGGTGGCTCAGTCACATTTACATGTGATTTTGTGTATTGAATTGTATATCTTTTAAGTCTCTCTCTATTAAGAATGTCTACAAAACACAAGGTGTAAAAACATTAAATTTCGACACATATTTAAATTTTTTTGAGAGTGATGCTAACAGTCTAATAAAAAGAGAGTTTGCAGGAAAGTATGCTAGATGGTTACTTTTTAACAAGACGGCTAATTTACTTTGTGTAGAGCACAAATTTTTTAAACAACGGGATAATTGACAGAAGAGAAAAATCATGAAGGCAGACTTCATAAGGTAAATATTTTAAAAGGTAATGAATACTGATATAATTTCTAAACAGACTTTATAATGTAAAGTTTTTATAGGTTGTCATCTTCCTTTAGACATAAAACTTGGTTTTCAATATTTTAGATATTATTTAAATAAAGCATTTCAGAAAATCAAACATAAGATTTTTTTAAAAAATTTTTTTGTTACGTTATTCTTTATTTTGTGATTAATTCATAATTTTGTTAATGTAAGATATTAATAAACTATAATATAAAACAAAATATATTAAATCTCAAGAAGATACTGTATTCTAAAAGCTGCATTCAAATCTAGGGACAACGAATAGATTAAGAATATAAATATAAATTATAATTAACAAATATTAAACTTTATAGAAATATATGGACATATTATGCTAAAATTGTAGTGAAATAATATCTCTAACGCTGTAAAAAATGTCCATTAATAATTTGTGTGTAATACCCAAATCTTAAAATGTTTGAATCACTTTCTAGCTTTCAGAAATGAGTTTACTTTCACTTTTCATAAATGAGTGAAATTCTGTGTTGGTCATGGGGTAAGAGGCTTTAAGCATACAAAATCATAAATAAACCAACATACGTTAATTCAATTCATCTTTAGTAGTCTCCAAATTCTTTGAATAGAGTAAATCCATCGTGTGAATTTATACACTAGTTATCATAAATTAAGGAAAAATCACAAAAATCACGATTACTGAAAAAGTTACATGTAGAATTTTATGAAACTTACTTACAATATACAACACATAGTAAGGTATCAAATAACGTAAAAATAAATTATCAGACAAATATGGTAGTATAGAAATTAGCATATATATAAAATGAACAAATCGAAGGTATCAGTTTGCTATATGAATACCTTCAATATGGAATATGGTCGCCTCTAGAAGCAATACAACACATACAGCAATGCGCGATGTTTTAAATTATAAGCTCTATTAGTTCCATAGGAAGCGAGAGCCACTGCCTTTGGAAGCAGTTGCAAGCGTGGCAACGGTCTGAGGGGTCGGATTGAGAGCAGCTAGTCGTCTATCTAAAGCATGCCCAAACATGTGCTCGATAGGATTCAAAGTCCGGAGATCGAGCTGGTCACTCCATGCGCAATAATTGTTTCCTGTTGAAGATAATCATCTGCGATGGGAGCCCTGTGTGGTCTCGCGTTGTCGTTCTGTAAACGGAAAGCATCACCTATTGCCCAGACATATGGGCGCCCATAAACATCAAGGATGTCATCTCTATAAACCTGAGCATTCACGATTCCCCTTCGAAAGACATGGAGGTCTGTGCGTCCACCCAAAGAGATGCCATCACAAACACAGACACTGCCTCTTCCGTATGCATCTCTTTCCCGGATGTTTTACTGATGATAACGGATTTCAGGTTCTCTCTATATCAAATAACACTTACTATCGCTTTCTAGACTAAACTCTGTAAGAGACCGCCTTCCATTGATCAGGCGTCCAGTGGACATGTTGTTGGTACCCACTGAAAACATTCCTCCTATGGCATGACGTGAGCGGCACATAAATGGCTGGTCGCCTCGCATACAGACCAGCTTCGGGAAGCTTTTACGCACAGTTGACGTTGACATGACCTTCCGGTGGCTGGCAGCAAGGGAAGATCTAGAAGTCGGAGTAGCAGTTCTATTCCTGCGTGCACAAATGTCAAACATCGGTCTCGGCGCTGTCGTAGCAGTGGCCTTCCTGGCTGAACCTCCTAGAGCCAAATCTGTGGTTTGAAATATCTCCAAAGTCTGTGAACCAAGAAGGACTCACATTAGCCTCTGGCCACTTCTGTTTGCCTTTGTCCTGCCTCTAGTCCAATGGCTCTCCATCGCCGTTCTGCAGACAAATGATGCCTGGAGGTCATTGTTTGAATGTATCTCAGATTTCTGTCACTGTCACAGTGAAATATGTGGGCTTCTCTCAAACAGGACTTTATGCTCTTCGCAGATGACGTATTCCGAAGCCACCACTATTTGCATATGCAGTTTTATCATCTACTCTTACTTGGCACATATTCAAATTACATGGTTTGCTTATTTTTGAGGGAGTTATCGCTGTTTTGTGATTTTTCTTTAATTTATGATAACCAGTGTAGTATCAATCACTGATGGGCATATTTTCTGACATAATCGTCTTCACAAAAAAATAAATAAATAAAAAATTTGATCATTTCAGAGAGGATTCACTGGATTATTAACCTGAGAAGGCAGGGAAATTATCTCTGGTCATTTCTGATCTCAATGATTTTTGTGCCTTTTCACTGATAAACATTTTTGCAAAAATAAATGCTAAAATTTGTATTCACTCAGAGCATTAGGACCAAAAAAGTTTTTAAAAAATTCATAATTTAAATGAATGTTAAATGAGAAATGTACATATTTCATTGCTTACTTTTAAAAAGAAGACCTATATGAATCATGGAACTAATATTCTTTGTCAAATATTCTTTTTTGTATTAGAGTTATTTACGATAGTTGATAATAATATATTATAATTAATTATTATTATCTTTGACCAAGATTAGAATTAAATGCTATTATATTAATAATGTAATATTAAAACTTAATATTTAATAAAAAATCTTATCTCAAAACACAAATTAGTTATTCTTAATACAAACGCATTAAATGTCTATAAATATCATTCCAAAATCTATTTTTAAAATTCTTTTAATTCTCCTTGTCAAACTCATTTATACTTTGAGCACAATTACCTTAATTTGTAGCTGCCACAGCCTAATGTCAGCATAAAAAATCCATGCTTTTTTGTTTTCAGATATTGATTTTTAAGCCGAATTATTTTAGACATCACTGCTTAAAATTGATTCAAGCAGCTGCCATGAGCGATAAATCATGTGGTGGTGAGGGAAAGCAAAAAAAAAAAAAAAAAAACAAATAAATAATAAATAATAAATAATATATAAAATACATATTGCCAGTTGGCTTAGGGGTTATACTATACTCAGACTTTTATAGAATGTTTTTGTATGAAATCTAAGCTATTATATCTGGCAGTTACAGAGCCCAGTTATTGATCAAATAGAATTATGCTAATAAATTATTGTGTTTCTTCAATATGGAGATGTTTTATTTAGTGCCTAAGTGGAATTAAGAATCAGGACCCTCCGCATGTTTTACTATGAAAAATGTGCATTGCACATGAAGCATTATGTGTATGTTACTCTTGAAATCTAATTTTTTTCTTCCTTTTTGCAAGATATTAAAAAAAAAAAAAAAAAAAGGGGGGGGGAAACAATTGCTGGCAGTCTTCAGGTCCAGATGTTAGATGATTCTTTTGGATTTCTAACTTTGCATTGTATGTGATAAGTGTCTATTTAGATATTGTTCAATCTTGGATGACATTAAACTGCATCATTTAAGATTATGTAGGTTTCATTAGTTTGCATAGTCAATAATATTACAAATTTACATATTTGTTTGTATGCTGCCTTTTAATTTTCAGCTACATTTTAGAGGGGTTATAAATATTTCTGAGACTTGAAATATACTGTTCAGGAGGAAAAAATATGATAAATGTAGGAGGAATAAAAATTGTTTCACATGTTATGGTTATTTATAAAGAAAGATTTTTTTTATTTTTTTAATCTTAATGTGATTTTATGGATATTGGATTAAATACAATTATTCAAACATTAAGGTTCACAGTTGAGTTTTAAGTTTCATCTTTCTGTCATGAAACTTTAATTGGATATATGTGGCAAGATATCCAATTAAAGTTCCATGATAGAAAGATAAAAGCGTATAGGTAATAGAAAACCTGATTTGAAATTATTAATTAACAGTAACTATATCATGAAAAATTTGACTTGTATGCTTTAATGGAGAGTTCCATTTTTATAGTAGAACCAACATTAGGATAGATGATATTCTAGCTCACAGTTAGTAGAGTCTGAAGTTTTATTTTATAGTTCAGTGAGACTGCTTTTTCCCACCTTTAAAATGCATTTTTATTTAATTTATTTCATTGAGCTGATAAAGTAAATGAAACTGCACATTTAAAGTTTGCTAGCCTATAAATAAATTTTAGCACAAGTACTTATGTGCAATTAAAGAATAATTAAGTTACAGACTGAGAGTACGGGAGTATTAAGAAATAGTAAATGAAAAGAATACTAATTTTAAAGTAAGTTTATGAATGCATTATCAGTTTGCATCACAGAGAATTAATATTTGAAATTGTTGATTATTGACTTCCCCACATTAGTGGAAATTAGTGGGAATTACATTAGTGGAAATTATATTAGAGGATTCTTTTTCCTAATTGTTATAATTCAGCTTTTAAACATTTGATTCTTTATGTCACAATATAGAATAAAATAGAACTGTATTGATGGCTGATAATTGATGTAATTTAATAATAATTCATTTAATACCAGTTGCAATTATTTTTAAATTCTTTCTTTTAGGACTTACTATATTAACCTTTGTCATGGAATACAACAAACTGTTAATACATTTGGTTGTTCGCCCACAACAGCTGTCTGTATGGTGGATCCCGAGGGCTTATCATTAGGCATGGTAGAAACTATGAAAGTGAAATCATTTAGTAAGTTTCTTGCTCTGATTTGCCAAATTACTGAACAAAAACTAAAGACTCTTATCACTCTGTTAAAGAAGAATCTTCCTTGGAAACCTTTTATAAACTGAAATGCAGGCAGTGGTAATGTAGTTACAATTAATTTATGTGAGGAAAGCTTTTAAATACGTAAATAAATAAAATATCATGTTACGAGTCTATTAAAAATATGTTATAAATAGTTCATGTAATTTAAATAAATTATTTATGTAATTATATTCAAAACGTAGTTTCACCTTCAAAAATTGCAAAAGCAAAGAACTACCTAGAAGATGGATTTCAACAAGTAGAGACAGTGCTTTAAATTGCATTGTCAGAGATCCAGTAGTAAGAAATCCAGGGACTAAGAGAAAGAGAAAGGGCAATTATCAGCTCTTCCATGTCTGTTCAGTGTTTGTGTATTCTTCATATAGCTTACTGTGTGGGACTCCATTAGAGGCATGCTGTTCTGATATTTGCCCCTCCTGGTATCAGATAAGATATTTGTTATCTGCTCTGTCTCATGTAAAAGCTGTCATGAATGATATGTTGACACTTTTTATACTGGTATATTTTTTGTATTGATTGGCCATTACAAATTGAATTGACATGAAACCAATCTAGTGTGTAATGTCACTGGAGAAGATATATTCATCAATTTATCATTACATCGATGACTCCACTCTCATCCCTTCAAGTTCATTGCAGTCACAGGTTGATACCTTACTTTTCACTGATAAATTTAACTGTCATGTTTTTCATTTTTAAACTTTTTTAAAGGTGTTTTTTCTAAACCATTGTAATTTTATAAAAGAGAACCATCAAAAAGAGAGAACTAAACTGTATGTTCAAAAATTTTATCTCGAATTTTAAGTCATGTTATTCAAAATTTAAACATTTACAGTTAATCGTAATTTTTAATTTGTGTTTTACAGCAGTTTCACTTCGTTATAATAAATTAATTTTCAAAACCATTTTTTTTAAACTCCATTTTTGAATAAATGTTTTCTAAAATGAATTGCTCTTTTTCTGACATATTTGTATAAATATAAAGAACAAAGTATTAAATGTGTTAATTAAGGTTAGGTAAGCAAATCAGTGTTTAATTTGGTCTAAATCCGAGTATGAATGTGTTTTTTACATAAGATTCATTATATATTTGAAAAGTTTCTGAAATGTTTTAATCCCTTCACTTCACATTGCAGTTACAGTCAGTTTTAACATCAAGAGTGTCCTGCAAACTGAATATGGGCTAAAAGGATAATGAGCTACTGACATTGTCAAGTTTTATAGAAGAAGGAATGGTTTGCATGCAACTCATAAACACCTAAATCAGTGGCTATTTTATTAAGATTTTTCTCTTTATTGTATTTCTTAAGGCATCTAATTTTATTTTTAATGTCAGGTTAGTTTTCTTTTCTTGTCATTCAACAATTTTACTTATAAGTCTGGAAAACTTACCCAGAATGAACTGAAAGTTTAACTGCCATTTAAGTACTGCCATAAATTTTCATGCAAGCAAATAAGCACTAGTAACAGAAAAATAATGTGAGTGATAATCGATTGCAGCTCCCTAATCTTCGCTAGCCACTGTGTTATTGAGAGGAGGGAAAAATTTCTATAAATGTTTACAGCATAATTGACTGAAATATTTGCAGACATCTGTAAGCAGTTCATATCCAAAGACATTTAATAAGAAAAATGGTTCTGATAATGATTAGTAAATGAGAGAAATGGAGTTTGCTCTGTAAGATTGATTAATTCAATATATTTGTACGTCACACGTGAGGAATTACTTTTTTTTTTTTTTTTTTCCGGGGGCGGAGCTTTTGACGTTTAGAGACATATGCTAATCGCTTAAAGGTTTTCATAGCAGAGAATGTCTTTTAACCTGCATCTTTCTAGGGACTTCTTTCTCTTCATAAGTAAGAAAAAATTTATTCACTTTGATATGTGCTACCGAACGCAGAAATCACGAATGATACAAATTTGCGGTATTTTGGAGAACTACGCAGGGAGGTATGTGAGATCTTATTACATAAATTTTGGTTAGAGAATTTTCTCTAATAAATTTCTTCCTTTTCTAATTTCTTCTTATTTTTAAGCAGTCTATATATTATTTCTTTATTGCAAAGTTTCTCTTTCATTATTTGCACCATTTCAACTGGAATGTTGTCTAAGTCCTCTTGCAAAATTCCTTTCATTTTGTTACAGTTCTTGCAGGAGTTTCTCAGTTTCTATTGAATTCTTCATATTATACCTTATATATTGTGCTAATGTCTTCTAGAATAGTACTTTTTCTTTTCAAAGTTTTCATTTTTTCTTTTTGAATGTTGCTGAATCCTATCTCTCTTTGATCACACCGAATCAACATATGTATTCTTTCTTGTAACCTGATTTTCAACTTTATAATATCTTTATGACAATTTAACCACTAGTGCGTCAGGTCTTCATAATTTCGAAAAATCAGTATTTATTTTTCGTAATTTGAATGCATGTACATATTAAATGCATATACATTTTAAATATAATATGTATGATATTTTTTAGTAGAAATTAATCACTTTTTTAAACTATGAGCACTGATGTTATTTGCTTTACTCTATTATAGATTGCATTTATTACTTTACTCCTTTATTTATTATACTATTACATCTTTATTATACCTGTTATATGAAATTATATTACTTGACATATATTCTACAGGGTGTTTATAAGTCCTGGACCCATTTGAGTTTAATAATAACTCATAAAATAATAAAGATAAAATAAATTAATAGCATAATGGTTTGATAGACTCAAAAGTGAAACAAAGTTTTTCACTAAATTGAAAAATACAAATGCATTGCATAATTTCGATAAAAAATTATGGAAATTTAGTGAAACATTTAAAAATTCAGAAAAATAAACCAGG